AAAATCAGAAACACTCATATAACTGCTTCAGCCAATATTTTATTGGATGAAAAGACTTCACAATACGTATGTTTGCTTTAGAAGGCCAATTACATTGGCGGATTTAATAGATGGGGGCCGAGGGGCCGCCCCCCTCTTTAACAACCAACATTGCTTCGAGCCATCGGCGCTCGTGAACTTGGCCTTAGGCCAACTTATCGCCCCCCCCCCCTATTCCAGAATCCTAGATATCGATCCGCCCCTGAATTACGCCTCCCATAGGATTCAATCCCCGGATTCAATCATGGACTGCATGTAGCACATTGACCAGCGCTGGAACAAGTTAATGTGCTTGCCGTGATCACTTTCTCCTCCAAACGTTTTACTGGCTTTGATACCACATTCAATTTGTATCCGACCACCGACACAAAAAACTGGATGCTTTTCAACGCTCTTGTGGCTCTTGTGTTTGAAATGTTTTCTTTCTTAGAAATGGTTCAAAACCACATCACGTCCAGCGTCAGGCGTTATATGACAGTAGGGAACTGTGTCGGTTCTTGGTCATCCACAGGCTTCCGGGCGCCGTTTACCATGGCAACGACCAGGCGTCACTTTTTTGACTGGCAGAATGTCGTCTGCCGAGCGCGGCTCGCTGCGGTCCACCACTTTCATGGCGTGACAGTTGTTTTTTAACGCGTGCCGCGCCCCGCCCGAGCCTTTTATCAGTATAATGCGAACTCAGGAAGATCTTTACCAGTATAATACGGACTCAGGAATAACTAACTTGGTTCATCTCTATTCTATTACAAAGTGAGCGATATTTCTAAGACTTCCAGCCCCGCTGGTAGCCCTGCGTACAGTGCTGTGTGTACGGGGACGCGTTCGGTTGGTAGATGTCCCCACCACAGCCCTGCGTACCTCCATAGACAAAGTCCGGGACTTTGAAAAATATAACTTTTTAATGAAATAACATGCCCAGGTACCAAAAATAATGATCGATTACCAGATATATCCAGAACTCCCAGTTCGGAGTCCAATTGTGGATGAAATCGGCTACTTTGCCCTAAAAACAAACGTAATCTCTCGCGTGAATGAAATTAAAAATGGCGGCGTTTGGTGGATAATTCCTCCGGTACCTACGCGTTTACAATTTGTCCGTCTTTACTAGTTGTTATTTAAAGACATTTCAGTTTCAGATAACTTTGTAATGGTTGTTACGGATAACTATCGTCATTTCAACCGATTTCGGCTGGGAAACTACTTATTTTTAACTTGCGCACCAATTACGGTGTGCTCCCGAACTTTGTCTATGGAGGTACGCAGGGCTGTGGTGGGGACATCTATCAACTGAACGCGTCCCCGTACACACAGCACTGTACGCAGGGCTGTGGTGGGGACATCTATCAACTGAACGCGTCCCCGTACACACAGCACTGTACGCAGGGCTAACATGCAGCCCCGCTAGACCCGCTAGACGTGGGACTAAGATAAAATGCTGAATGTTATGAGCGTTACAAATATTTATGACCTGCAAAATTAAACTTTATAATGTAGATGGCGTAGGGATTTTAATTGTGAAAACAACTGTTTATAAATTTTATACCATCCCCTTCGACACGTGACGTAGCTAGGTGACACCTGCAACACATCAGTACGTCATCATTTTACGTTGTTCATCACGTGACATGTTGCTATTTTCATTTTACCAATTTATACTTATATTATTTCTTAAATAATGTAGAAAGAAAATCACTATAGAAGAATACCTACCTTCTCAATATTAGTTTTATGTTGAGACAACCTCTGTAGATCGGTGGGAATCGCCACTTTTGTAAACATTCGGATGGCATGTTCCAGTCGTTTTATCGGTTGTTTCGGCATATCTTCTACAGTCAGTGATCTGAGGCTGCCAAGTGATTCAAACGTTGCCATGGCACACGAATTAAATGTTGCCGATACAGTATAATTGTATCATAGACATGCATGTAAGATGTCACACACGTAAATAAATGAATTATGACCTGATGCAGATATCAACTTCCGCGAACGACTTTCGTTACCTAACCTTTCACTCATTCGCCACTCATTTTCTATATCTGGTATTCCATAATTTTGATCAGAAATACCAGTGGATCCAAGAGCACGTATCGATCTATGTATTAACACAATAAAAAACATCCATCACTAAAACCAACGTAAACACGGAAGTTATTCTCGTCTGTCTGCCTGTCCGCGGAATATTGCATTGTGGGATTGTACTCTCTAAGTTATAACAGAACTGTCTACAAGTTAGCAAAATTACGTATTTTGACAGATTTAATTATGGAGGAAATTCTTTATCTATTTTACTTAAATTATATTCTATTATACAATGTTGTAACTCCTTTTTGTTTGTTTTTTAGTTAGTTCGAGGGAATTTTTTGGTCAGCTACACTGGCTTAGAGGTTCTTCAATACTGGGGTCACTGGAGGTCATCATAATAGCGCGTCCTGTTTGTGAATCGACGCCCGTAAATCGTTTGTAGTGAATGACCGGGACTGTGTAATCGCAGTGCGTTGTTTATTCTGCATTTAATCACGCAATACGTCAATATGGGACAGAAGCCATCATCCGTACCGGAGGCAACAGCAGAGCTGGACAAGTTAAAAAACAAGGCAAAGACTGAAATATCGAAATACCAACAAGATAGCCTATCAAAGAAAGACGAAGTCGTGGAACCGTCCGACCCCCAGAGAGGTCGAGACGTCTTCGTTCGAGAATGTGAACACTGTCATACTATAGAAAAGGGAGGCGAACACAAATTCGGACCGAATTTGCAGAATCTATTCAATCGCAAAGCTGGGGAGTTGGAAGGTTTCACCTATCGTGACCTCGATCGGTGGACGGAGAAAGATATCACATGGACCGATCAGACCCTGGATGAGTACTTGGCCGATCCAGGGAACTACGTACCTGGGACCAAGACGTTTTTCAAACCATTGCCATCAAAGCAAGACAGAATAGACCTTATCGCGTACTTACACGAAGCAACAAAAGACGACTAGAGGCAATTATCGTGAAATGTGATGCAGAACGGTGGTCATCAAGGATTGTCTGCATTCAAACTTTTGAATATAACAACTTTTCCCTTTCTACAGGTTTATGACGCTTTGGTATAGAACTGTTTTATTTGTTTGTTTTTTGTTAACTAAAATTTGAATAGTTGCCGATTGTGCCTTTACAAACTATTAATGTTTATTTGCTGTTGTTTGTTTGTTCCACTGGTAGGCACTGACACTATACGTGGCATATGTATGTTATATGCGCCAGTTATAAACTGCCACGGTTGTATCGTTTATCTTTTCTATTGTGCTCTGGTATTACCATGTATTACAGAGAATAAAACGATAACTTCACTTGATCAAACAAACCTTGATTGCGTCGCACTACTGTAAATACTTCAATTATTCATTGGGTGTTATAATAATAATAACTTTATTACTCAACAATTACCATCTGAGGGTAATGTATGCTAAGAAATATAGTAATTTTGCTATTTTCAATGATAAATATAATCGCTAAATTAACTTAACTTAAAAAACAGTGAATATGCTGAAAACTTCAAAATAATGAAATTAAATGATATGAGAATAAATTGTTTAACAGTATACGTCGGATAATATATGAATGGGACCGGGCCTTATCGCGGTTAAACCACATTTGCCCTGTCAATTCTTCGAGCATTTTAAATTTTGATTAAGTTAAACTGTGCAAGCACGCGGGGCAGCATGGCTCATAAAAACACAGAATAATAAGGAGTAAAGGGAACTACAATTTGCATGTTCTCTCAGTGCATCTATAAGTCATGTGACCCAAGCGGTGCTTCCATTCAAGCGAAGCATTTATACACGCCATGAATAGATAAGGTGTGGTGACCTGCGGTATATTTACATGCCATTGACAGATTGAAGATTTGTCTGATATTAACCAATGCATATGGGAAATTATATGATAATAGCAACTTTTCCTAGAAATACTTTCTATTATTCACACTATTATGATCGAAATGAAATATTATTTTCAAATTCTCTGTTGTATTCGTGTTCTCAGTCCTAGAGATAACAGTGCCCGTGCGATGTCTTGAGAGAGACCACACAAATACAAGTCTCTGTTTTGCGTGTATACTTATTTTTGAAAAAAAATCTGGGGCCTAATGAATATGTTAAATAGAAATAAATATATATTACAAGATAGGCAAATGTATAGCTGACATAAGGCCATCTGTACGAGAACGATCATTCCTTCCCCTTCTCACCATCTTCGCCGGCCAATTTGAAGGTGTGCTTTTTCAAACGCCTCAAATCGTGAATATGATATTTTAAATCTTACCGAGAGGTCAAGGGTCAAAGAGCGCGCGTGATGTGTCAGTGTCCCATATAAATTAGCACATTTACAATCTTATGTAACTACATTGCATTACTATCACTGTCAGAACTCAACATACATGTCCCAGGCCTGTTCAGATGCATCTTCACAAGTTAGACATTACCCATTTTTGCAAAGTTTACCCGTACTTGAGAAGTTTACACGTACTTGAGGCAGTAGTCGTCGCGCCACGCATGTGCGAGATATATGGGTCTCATATAAACAAAGATGGCGACTTTGACTGTTGCGCAGATCAACAAGTACAAACTAAGACGTTTCCAAGCTTTAATTAGGTATTTTTAGGTGATTGGAAGGTATCGAAGGAGTCACCGGCGGTAATTAGTGCTGTGCCCATGCCAAACCTTATACTTGTGATTTCCATTTGAAGAGCGCATTGGATTGTGGGAAAATCAATGTTTATCAACACAAATGTCGCACACGCGTAGCGCGACAACCACCGCGCTTTAAACAAGACACCTACTTGCGATGATATCACAAATAATATACGTAACGCTGTTGCTATGGTGAGCAGGATGGCCAGATAGGCATGTGTTTCCGTCACAGTGGTACATTCTACATTTGGTATAAACATAATCATCTCAACTTAAATTAAATTAAAAAGCGTATACAATTAATTCCTGGGTATATTGAGAAGTATATCTTTTTCAGGGTCAATGGTATACTAGTATGTATTTATATGTTATATGATATTTTACCTAAATTGTTACCAGATTAACAGGGCGCCCTCAACACAAGACACCATGCATTCTTAGGTATATCTACGAAAGTACAGACTAGCAATGCGACTTTTCCTTTAGTCAGGTGCCTGCCACGTATGTTTTGGTTTTAACTTTTTAACCTAATAAAACCCGATCGAACTAACGCGACTATAACGTAATAACGCGATATTCATTACTTTTTCATCAAATAAAGCAAGATTGTATTACTAAGATGTGTACACAGGAAGTAGTATTAGTTGGGTCGTAGTTTAGTAGTTATTTTCTTTTTTTCTTGGTTAAACACTCTCCACAAATGCGACAAAACATATGCAAGTTATTTATATGTTTATTCTCCATGTTTCTGTAATAATACAGAAAACGAGAATAAAGATAATTGACATTTATGCTCCATTAAAATATCAGCTTCCTATTGAATATTAAATGATTTCAATCACTTAGTTGCGGGAGCATATCAGGTTTTCAAACGCATCCTACGAAGCGTCCACACAGAGGAACACTGTCAACGCCAACACCGCTATTTGACCTTTATAACAAAAATCTACAAGTTCTTGGAAAAGTCTAAATTATGAGAAATATAATTAAAAATGTTGTCATTATGTATGTATTCATAAATATCGTAGACGAAAGTAGGAAAAATTAAAAATGTCGTACCTCATCTAAAAAATGACCGATTTAAACAGAAAAGACAACAATAGACAGTTCAACACTCGCAGATTTCATTTAGGTTAGATCTGAAATTATGCGCCTGTGCGTTCGGCACTAGAATGGTATTTTCAGATTATGTACTGATTATGTTGTTTAGGGCATTAACCACGGTTATTTGTGTTTAAATGATAATGTAATTGTTGTTTTAATTATTTGTGGTCAAACTTGATGATTTGCATTAAAAATACTATTTGAGCTTATTCTATATTAAATATTTCGTTGACCACATATACTTGTGTTTCTTGAAGTGCGTTCATGTTTGTTGCGGGTGTACGTGTTCTATCCCAAAGTTCTACCCTGGCATTACTGTGTATGCTCATATACCAATATTATATCTATGCATTATTTACATTGTGTATTTTGGGGGTAAAGAACCCAACCACAAGGTCGGTGACTGTACTTTATTTTGGACATTGCGTTTCTGTATTACGTTTGGCGATTCTACCACACCATAGTACTTCACCGTATAATTTACCTTGTGACACACTACAAAAACACACGAAGCAGGTAAATGCGGGTGCTTTCGGAAATCTTCGGGTAAACTACCAGCAAGGTCTGCCGAGGAATTACAGTTGTAATCCCCAATTTACTCCTATAGCAATATGCATTGCTAGTCTGTTCTTTAGTAGTCTGAGAGTATCCTCGGGGGGCAGACATCCGGGCATTTTCTACCGCCTGGCAACCCTCGCGGTGAAAACAAAGACGAAAAACTCGCAGAAAACGGTACTTTGCAATGGTTGTTGAGAGTTCCCTGAACAGTGTAACAAGATTAGCCCTACGTGTGTAACATATATGAATTTGGTTGTTCAGGATTACTTCAAAGTTGAGTTTGTGTTGTTTTCTCGAGTTTTCACCGGCTCCACCGGCGTTCCACAGCAGCGCGCACAAAGCCCATAGAAATACGTGGTACAGTGGTGCGCGTCTTAGCAACGTAGAACGTCCGTGACGTAGCTCCGCCCCCGAGGATATGACATGCAACCTTAATTTGTATCAATAATACGCCCTCAACATATAACATCATGCATTCCTGGTTGGATAAGAGGATTTTAAGCCACAGTTTAATACCAGAAACTTGATTGTATTTGATGTTATGCAATAATTTGTACCAGAAAGTATCAATCGTGATGGCGCCTCAGCATATTATTACACCATTATGGTGGTATAGAGTTGATCTTCAGGTGGAATTTCAGTGTGGCCTTAACCTATTAGGTGTATGCTTGGTTTTTAGCACTTATTACTTTTGACTCCCGTGTGCAAATCACTCGATGGGGGTCTTTGTACTTAGTGTGTCTGTCTTTATGTGTATGTATGTGTGTGGCCGTCTGTTACACTGATATCTCAAGAACCATATGTTGGGTTTCGATGGAACTTGGTGCATAGATGCTCTGCACTAAGGCGCAGATTCTATTTTGGTTTAAATCCATGCAAATTAATGGACCAATTTGCATAATAATTAGCCAATTTTTAGCTGTTCCTTGACTGTTCCACTGATATCTAAAGAACCACTTATCGAATTTTTATGAAACTTGGTATATAGACGCTCTGGGACAATGCGCAGAGTTGAATAGTTTTGGTTAAAAATTCATGCATATTAATAACCTCATTTGCATAATGTTTAATCAATTTACAGTTTTTCCACTGACATCTCAAGTATTAATCATCACATTACAATGAAACTTAGTACCTTGATGATAATGCCTATCAATGACCTAATCTACATAGTATTGAGCAAAGGTTAAGCATTTTCACTTGTATCTCAAGAACCATTTAACAGATTTTATTGAAACATGGCACATTAATGCTCTGGGGTAATGTGCAAACCTGATTAGTTTTTGGTTGAGATCAATGTGATATGACTAATGTTTCAGATGACTATATATGGTCATGTGATCCCAATAGTATGCAAAACTGCAACTGCAGTTGCAACATGCAACTGGTGCTATAATTTTATATGCTATAGATATATGAACAAAATATCAAGTCATCATATATTGTCATATATTGTTAAACCATAGCTACTTGATCATTGCTTGCAGTTATATATTGTTAAATGCTATATTTGCTCTATTAGAAGCACATGTGTTAGCTGTGAATATATTGTAAATACATTATTCCTAATTTTTAATTCATGCCTCCAATACAAGCTTTCTTTGATATTTTTTACTAGAATGATATATCGCCCTCTATGGCAATCATTAAGCTATTCATAGGTTCGGGAGAGAAACACAATAACCATTCAGTAGATGCTGATGATTTTTTATTCGTCACTGTTTCATAAAAAATGAAATATTGCCACATATGAAATAAAAGCCCTGCAAAATCAATCAGGAATATAAGATAGAAAACCACATGTAAAGAACCACTTTGAAAATAGAGACAGGAAATAACTGTTAACATAGCACCAATCAACGACAAACAAATATGGACACAATTTCGTAAGATGATTAAAAATTAAATTAACATAATATTCAATTGACCAATCAAAAGATTCCGATTGGTAGTCTTGGACTAATATTTTTGACATTGACATTAACAACACAATCACATTTCGACATTATATATCCAAATATTTGAAATCAAGACAAACTTAAAGATTTTTTAAGAAAACAAAATCAGTAAAAATATGAAACATACATAAGTGTTTAACATATAAGTTGAAACCAATATAGACAGTGAATGTCAAACTTTTAAAAACTTGTCAAAATGTAATAACATTTACGACGTTACCACGACTTCACACCACTTGAGATGGTTTTATAAAAAAGTAAAAAAAAGTGAAGAAACAAAAAAAATATTTGTACAAAATTCACAAGATTTCGTCCAATTTTTTGAACAGTATGAAAATACACCACATAGACGTGTAAAAGTGAAAAGTCATAAACAACAAGAACTTTACAAAAACGGACTCCTTAAGCTTCTGAAGGTGAGCCACAATTTCACGATTTAGAAGGAAAGATCACTTTAAAAATTTTGTGTAAAATTGACAAAGCATGTATTCACTATAATTTGTAAATTGTATAAAAACTGTAATGGTTTTCCTTTCGTAAAAAAATACTAAACATTCTCAAAAACCTTATTCTTCAATATGCTTGGCATACATAGTCCACCAGAAAATATACCCTCAACTTAGTTAAGGAGCCTGATATTCTCAAAATGTGAATTCTCCCTGAAGCTAGGGAGTGCCTTTCCTACACAACCCCCTAAGATATAATCAATAAATCAAGCAATTTAGTTATACATTATTCCTTAGAATGTTCATTCATCCACCCATTATCAAAATGTGATTTTTCCTGAAGATAGGGAGTCTAACCCCCAGTTGTCACCAGTTAAATAGGGCAGTCAAACATCATTTGCATTTTACAATGTTCTAGCTAATTAACGCAAAAGAAAAAAATAGAACGTTTTAAAAATAAATAAATAAAAATGAAACGACAAGCACCGACTTCAATTTAATGGCTGTGTTGATTAGCATACAATTGTTGTCATTATTGAGTATACCTCATCGAGATTAAACCATGCTAGCTTATTGCAGCTCATTAGCATATGTTGCAGCTCATTAGCATATGAAGAATACAATTCAAACTGCTCTGAGTCATAGTAATCTTTTCAAAATTGTTATGAATGTCGTCATGACGTTTGCTGCTTTTTAGCACAATTTGTGCAGGCGTTTCTTGTTAAAAACATTTACATAATTATAATGTACACAACTATAATAATTTAAACACAATAGTTTTATACTTCTGATGGGTGATACAAATATTAATCAAAACACACCCACTCCATGACAAGACAGGTGCAACATCAAAATTTCTACTTAATAGTTTCACTTTTTAACCAATATTTTGTGAAATTTTGGCAAATGCCCATAATGTATATTGCACACAGGAAAAAAAGTATACATTGGTTTGAACTAAAGTACAAGTGCAGCACAGGACAGTTTACATTCAAAAAATGGCAGTGGCTTTGAATATAACATTGGTATTCTTAAGTGATTACCATGGTGACAGACAATGTTGGCTTAAGACAAAATACATAGAAATTGTACTTCAGTGTGTTTCAATTAAAGTATAAAATTCAAACTTGTATAAACAATAGGACACCAAACTCACAGTAAAATCACGATTCTTATGAAAAAAATCAGGAGAAAAAACAAAAGAGAAAGAGGTAAAAAATGTTGTCATGGAAACAGTTATGGAAAAAAATCACATCAGAATGTCAAAAATTCTGATTTATTTAAAAAAAACTTCAGGCAAGGCAAGTTGGATATGAAGACACTGACTAAAGATGGTACGCAGTCGTCAAGTTCTCCAAGTGATAGTTTGGGTTAATGGCGTACCTTATATGTAGCAATATTACACTTAGTATGGTAAGTGAGGAGCAAACATCCTCTCAACTATAGAGGGTGCTGGCACAGCTCCTTCCAATTTCAGATAGTAAAGACGCTGGAGACCCTGTTTGCTCAGGGTTCGCAAGTCTGGAATTTTGAGTAGAAGTTTTGACAGATAATTATGACGATTATGTGCCACTGGATTGTAAGTGATATGGTCACGCAGGGATCCGATGATTTTATTCTGGATATCTGCAACTTTGTGTGGCTCTCTTAAACCATGACGTTCTGAAAGACGGACAAGAAAAATGTAAGCGGTTAAAATGATGTACAACCAAATTATTAGAATAAAGTTAATGAGATGACATTATACTTATATATATTTAATTAAATGTAAATCCAACATGTATAATTGGAAACTAATGCAAGCTAATAACATTTCTTAATAACCCTTGTATTCCATAAATCTTTAGTGTATATTTTAAGTTATTTCTAGGTAATTGTGGACAAACTGGTTCATTTCTGCTGCAGGAGTCCATTTTAAGAAAGTGTCAATTATACTTGCAATAGCTTTTATTTAGAAATTTGTTTAATGTACATGCAGTGGTGGATCTAGAGGGGGGGTTCTTGGGGTCCGGACCCCTCAAATTTATTCAATTTGTTTTTGTATAATATAAAAAAAATCATTAACTTAGATTTTAAAGTTTGGACCTCCCCCATAAAAAAATCCTGTATTCGCCCCTGACATGTAATCCCTAAATAAGATTGGCAAAACTCACCTGTAACAAGGACTAATGCAGAGAGACAAGCAAATGCTGATATGTCAACATCCATTCCATGCATGGTTTCAGCAAAGTTGACCACTTGGTCTAACCATTCTCCGAATCCACGAGCACATTGTTGTTTATGTAAAACTACACCATTACAGAATGCAAGGCGGTCATCGCTAGGGCTACATCTGTAAACAAAAGCAATAATGTTTAGTTGTTGGGTATTTGATTACTCACAATAATATACAAATAAGGATTCACTAAACAGGTATGTATAATTATTTATGCATATTTCAAAATTATCCAAACATAACAAAACACATGTAATAAAATAACAAACACATGTAATAAAATAACAAACACATGTAATAAAATAACAAACACATGTAATAAAATAACAAACACATGTAATAAAATAACAAACACATGTAATAAAATAACAAACACATGTAATAAAATAACAAACACATGTAATAAAATAACAAACACATGTAATAAAATAACAAACACATGTAATAAAATAACAAACACATGTAATAAAATAACAAACACATGTAATAAAATAACAAACACATGTAATAAACAAATAAACAAACAACCAAACAAACAAATAAATAAATAAATAAATAAATATAACTGACCTGTAAGCTAGTCGAAGAACAAACAATTCTAAACAGGCAGATTGGAATAACAGCTCTTGGTCTTCTTCACAAATCTCACTCCAACCGGGAATCTTTTGTGTCCAGGATTTGATCACATCAATAGACTGCACTAGATTGTCATAGAATTGTTGCAGTTGTTCCTTGTCATCCAGTTTGGATTCACTGCTAGTGTCAGGCATCTCAAACTGAAAGTAAATGAGGACAAATTATTATTTGGATAAGAAACAGTGTTTAAAACATAATACTGTAAAATACTTTTATTTTATTCCATGAAAATAAAATCCAGCAAATATACCTTTTTTCCTATATTTTACATTCAACTCATAAGAAATCAGTGAAAATACAAACACCCAAAAGTCTTTTAATTAATTCCAGCTAAAATAAAGTATTTTACAGTATCTATCTCAATTTCTAGTAAAAAGAAAATAGCGCCCTCATCAAGAACAATGGTTTACTTTGTTTTTTATGCAAAACACTCACGCGCACACATCACATTCCCTGTCACATATAACAACGCTGATTTCGTGAAAGCTTAATATTGTTAAATTACCTGTGTGTAATTCAGATTAGGTTTGCCTGGTGAAGCGTCGACATGTGCCCGGACCAGTGCAGTTATAAGACTGACAGGAGGCGACGGCGGAGAGCTCTCCTGAGGACTTCGTGGTTTTGATGGTAATCGACCTCGTCTGCCCTTTAGCTCATCTGTGCGTACAACTGTAAACATAATAAAGACGATTAAAAATATATCATTTGTAGATTTTTAGTCAATTTCTCGCAAAAAACACGAGAAAAAATAGGTTTACACAAGTATAGAAAATCTCCATTGGAAGAATATCACCAACTCGATATTTACCTTCTTTCACCATTCCAGAAGCCAGACACTTTTGAAATCGACAGAACTGACAACGATTCCTTCTTCTTTTGTCGACAGGACAATTTTTATTCGCAAGACAGACATATTTTGCGTGTTTTTGTACAGTACGCTGTTGAGAGAGAAAATGAGATATGATTTAGGCCTGTGCTAAAATTGTAATGTGGATAATCGACGACGTATTACGTGCAAAAGTTGGAAAATAATTATTAACAGGGAAAGTATTACGCTAATTCTGAACTATTGTGGATGAGAGAAATTAAAATAAAATAAAATGAGCTTACCTTGAAGAAACCTTTACATCCTTCGCAAGTACGAACACCGTAGTGTTGGCAAGCAGCGCTGTCTCCACATACGGCACATGTACCTTCTTGTCCGGGAGAATTCCGTTGAGAGGTGGATGGCAGTGGTGTGATATCTTTCATTGTGCCGTGGTGCATTGGTGCTAATGTACTCGCCATGGTAAAAGTTCCATGAAATGTAGGCTGTCCTGCTAAATGCATGGACATTCCCGGTGATGGAGATCCCTGAAGAGGGCTGTGAATAGGATAACACCCAGACGGGCTATATTGTCCAAGTTTCATGTCGATATGTATGTAACCTGAGTGAGACTCAGGAGTTCGCGATCCATGAATACGATGCTCTATATCTCCCTGACTCGCTCGGTCGCTCCAATGGCATTCCTGGTTCTCAGCCTCATACGGGTCCACGTGACTACCATGTGACTCCAGACCTCCGTAGCCGCCGTACGACGTAGACGTTGGCGTGATCGGACTGTGCTGAAGTCTATTTTGTGCTTGTGGACCTTGTTGACTGCTGAATGGAGAGGACGACTCTTGCTTTGTTATTGGTGCGAAGTGGAAGCCGCTCTGTGGATTCCCACTAGCGTACGCTGTCGGCGTCGACGGTGGACTGTGCGTATTCGTCTTAGGACTATACGGGTAACTCTGTTGACTAGTGCTCGCATACGATGCAGTTCCCGCTGTTGTGCTTTGCGATGTCGGCTCCGGACTGTACGAATAACTTGGTTGATGTGCGTATGACTGTGAGCTGGGCGGACTGTGTGGATTGGGCTTAGGGCTGAACTGGAATCCAGATTGTTGGCCGTAAGACGGCGTCGTTGGAGGAGGCGATTGACTTGGCTTCGGACTGTACCCATACCCTCCACTTTGTTGTTGTGCTGGTGTTGGAGGCGAAGTTTGAGAAGATGGTTTATAACTGTAAACAGCACATGGCGTCACATCATGCATTGATGGCAACTCGAAAGGTGTGTCTTCGTGGCATTGTTCGGCGTGCTCATACGGAGAACTAGAACTGAAAAATTCACCATATCCCGTATGGGGTTCAGCAAACTCCGTATTACGGAAAGTGAATGATTCACCGTATGTGTCTTGGAAACTTGGTAGCATGCCAGTCATATAACTGCCCTGGTAACCGTACTCCATAGCGGTTGCCATAGTATCAGTGCTTGAAGGCAAAGTCGGCATAGAACGAGTATCGTCGTTAGAGGGCGTCCTAGATCCCACCAGGCCTGTTTCCTCCGTGTAAGTTGCTGTGGCTACGCTAGCTGACTGAGAAGTGCTTGGCTGTGCGGGGCTGCTCACTGAGCTGCCAACAGAGCTGCACCGAGCTGATGGTTCCGTCGAAATGTTGACCGTTCCTGGTGAAAGAAAAGAAAATAACGACAATGAGTAAAACAGATATTCAGAAACTTAAATGCACTGGTTATGCCAACAGTTAAATCTTACTCACAATCATGAAGCAAACATGTAACGATGAACAAACATACAAACAACCGCGAAAGCTGCTTGCAAAAAATATTACATGAAAATTAAAGTTAAGAGACCTAACACGGTGGAACTAAAAGAAAAACTCAAACAGGTGTTGAAAACAGAGATACCATGCGCCTAAGTATATGAGATGCGGCGAGCAAGGTTAACTTTTACATATATAAGTGGGAAAGAAACACGGGCTGTACGTTACAACCCACACACATATACCAAACATATAGGAAGGGACAAATAATAACAAACGCACTCGTTGTCAGTCCACTGCAGAGGCGCAGAAAGCTGGGTCGTGTCTGCATACACGAGCGAAATAAACCAACGTCTAAAGTACTAGCCTACGTATCCTCAACTGATGACGACCACGATCTCAGCGTTTCCCATTCATTGTGTCAACTCATTTGAATATTAACTAGGCAAGTCGATCGATGACCAATCAGCGTCGGCCATTAGCTCCTATTTTTATCCTGCTTTGCGGCTCTGACATCATCACAACCGAGCAAGTGCGTAGGTTGGTATATATAGCGTACTATGTGCGTCAGTGAGACTAAAATTAACCATTTTATAGCGATGTGCCTACGTCAGTGGCTCGCTTTAAACTGGTTCACTGTAATTCCCGAAACGGGGATGTGATGAGGCAAGAAAAAGAGGGGTTGAAAATTGGCGGTGTCGGTGAATTTCTCTCACTTGCTTGTATTTATTTTATACAACCCATCTCGTTTTCACGTTCTGGCAAATGCTTCGAACGCAGTGCTACGAAACAACAACATGGCGGACGTCGGGGAAAGGATGTAGTGAGTAGCTGCCGTGTTCAGCACAGTTCACAGCATGTGATGATTCTGATTAGATGCTACCTACGTGATGAATGGTATAACGCAAAAAGCTATAGTTAAAGCCAGGATATCCCTGCGCATACAGAAAAGAATCTCAATTAGACTATACCATAATGTGATTCTACACGAGATACTCAATTACCAGGACACCGACATGCTCCACTTCTCACACGGGATTCTATATCATTTCAAAAAGGGGCGTATTTTGGATGTGATAGAAATAGACTTGTATATTTCGTCAACTGTCCGTTATTAGTATTTTTATTGGACTACTATATAGTAGAGAAAGTACTTAAATTCGCTACATTTCGTTTGAGCTAAAACAATTATCGCATTTTTAAAAGTTCAATATTCCACTGTCAGGTACGAATAAAATTAGCTAAACTTACAGTCAAGTACCGGTGCTAGTAAAAACAATATTTGTTTACACAAAACTAATAAAGTACGAGATGAAAAAAACAAACAATTTGTCTTGCTCCCGGCTCCCAAAAAGACAGTGCTCGCGATACTCTCTCTAAACAAGCTCTGTTGTTTAGATTTACGCTTTATGCTGTTTAAAAATGTCTTCCTCTGACGCGTGTTACGCATCAAATGAGTTACTCGAGTACCGGATTTGTTTTTGCCAAATTCCTCTCATACTTCGAATGCCCCGGATTCATACCGAAACAACAGACTTAAGTCTTAAACAGCACGAAGATCAGGAACACACCTAATTAGCGAAGACGAGTATAGAAATTACAACAAGACTTTTAAACTTATAAATCTCTACACCGAGTGTGAAGTGACGGTAGACTAGAAATAAGTTCTGTTGGTATTCATATCAGTTAATCATTATTCGGCTAAGACGAGAGTTGTGTCAGAGGTCAATATCCGGAAGTAGGTCGACAGTGTTTAAAAGAAAACAAACTCAATACGTCTAAAGCAAAACTACATCACAATTACCAGTACGATCTGTTATTAAAACATGCCCGAATTAAAAGGCATACACGTCAACGTAAAATACTACACAGTGTGTTGGGGTATGAGTATAGGTCCTAAGGAACACGATAGCAAAATAGTGTTTCAAATCTGCTTGGTGTACACCGTAATGCGAGAATCATATATGATAGAACACAGTACTGCGCATTCGCCATAGATTCAGGCGCTAATCGCGTTAAAGTATAGCAAATGTAATGTTTTGCTCGATTTACTTTTTTCTCTGGGGAGTCACGCTGACGGTTATGGTGTACACGTGACAAGCTACCCATGTACGTAGCGGCGGCTTACATACGTAAATACGAAGTAGATATTTAATATTACTGTACGCGCGGCGGTCACTTGAAATTAGTCTTAACCGCGATTGCGTCAAAGGATTCGAACGACGTGAGAAAATTGCTATATAAGGGCAAACGAACAGTACGTCAGAGTGCCGGTGAATTGACGACCGGCATTTTAGATACATATAATAATAACAACGTAGATAAAAAAAAGGCCGGTGAACTACGTCATCACTTTCTTTCTACTACGCACAGTACGGCAAGACTGCGTAAGTCAGAAAAAACTCGTACTCAGTGATTACCATAATAGCCACTAAGCGACGGTCCCTCTGGTCATCTGTGGAGTGTTCCATTCAGAGATAGGGGGATCAGGTGTAGCAACAGTGAGGGAGCACTAGCGGGAACCCAGCCATTACCCATAACAATTCCCCCTTTTGACACGCAAATCCGCTCCCCAAACGTTCGAATTGGAAAACAACAATGATCGCGCGTCTCGTTGGGATTGTTCAGTTTATCGAAATAATACCAGAGCACACCACCCCTCGGTATAAATAATATCTTAGATGAATAGTATAAAGCGTATTGTTATCTTGACTGCGCATCAAAATGTTGCACAGGGTCCGTACGTACGTGTGGACGATACAACACTTAACAAACCTGATAAAATCAAATCTGACTTTGCTCTTCAGTCCTTATGTCAAATTTTCCTATTATTGTAATTTCACGTATGCTATGAATTTACTACCATCCGACGAAGGGCGTACACTGTGCCTCGTCTATTCTTTTTTCGTTATAAATAGATCATTCCGCATCAAGCTGTGATTTCTTTGCACAACAAATCAAATTTCATCTTAATTGCCTCGCTATCCCGGCGTTAAAGTAATGGTCAGTGAATTATGCGAATAACTAAACAACTACAACAAATTTCAAAAATAAAAATAAATCCCCCATGCCACACACTTTTCACATGACCGGAGTCGAGAATGTGATATGCGAGCTCAGTAAGTAAAATATGTAGATGTTTAAAGTGACAGCTAAAACAAACCTACAGCCTTATCTAAGTGACGTATCTCGTTGAAATCGTATTTTCATGTCGTTTTCAGGGGAACGTGCGAAGATGCTCGCCGTTGGCATCGGATGGGACCCAATACATGGAAAACAACTAAACTCACATCCAACACCAGAGGCTCTGAGATGGTAAGAAACGCTGCTATTAACACTTCCATGGGGACTGTACACCTGTGCAAACTGGCAAAATTGACGGAAATTACAGTGTATTTGCCCCGATTTCAAGCTCCTCTCACTTAAAAAATAGGCAAGGAGGCGATCTGACACTCAGGTATCTGTCAGAGCCGAGGAAACCGACATCATGGCATGATTAAACGATACACCGGTGTTTGTTTCCTCACTTCACCTCTCCTTGCACATTTCAAACAACGTGCCGCCGTTTAATAGCCAGGCACCCGGATAAAACGCATTATCTTCGCAATATGTGGACTATTGGGCGCAATTAAAATCATTCTTTTTTTCTTTTACTTCTGAGAGATATGATTTTTCCGGTAAGAAATGAATTTAAAAGTGCGTCTAGGATCAAAGTGTGGTATATAATACTAGGTTTGGAGATTTCTCCGATACGCCAACTTGTTAAAGTTTTTTTTTTTTTGAATGTATAACACATGTATTGCCCGAATATTTATTCGTATTTGTGGATCAGTAAATAACGCGATATACTGTTTTACATTGCCAGTGTCAGCTGGTTGGGATTTGTTGTCAGCGCCAATCAATCGATGAGAAAACAAGACAGGAAACATTGCCTGAAATTTGATGAAAGAGGCTTAGATTTATTCAACGACGAATTCGTCCATGTGTGAATATGTTTTGCCGTGTTCATCGACTAGAACACAAAGTGCCATCTTTCATTCTGTCACATCTACATCCAAGCATACTAATTTCGATGACGTTGATTACTCGCACCACTTCGTACGCACAGGAGAAAAGAACATATGTCCGCGTTGCACCGTGACGGAACGGCCTAAATCACGCACCACGTTGAATTGCTTTACGTTATAGAGTCAGAAACCTTGCAAGAAAGAAAAGCTTGGCAGGCATCAACACACGCGAGGGCACGAATAAATCTTATTTGCTGAACAAAAGCATTCCACATCCCAGTTTTGGTCCCCAATCATTTTCCTCCTACTACTCACACACTTTTTCTAGAGGATGCGCCTTGAGTTTAGAAGATGACACGTTTTGTTCGAAATCCAACTGACGTAGGTATGGAATTATTAATAGGCTGCAATTGCGCTCTTTTCTCACAGGTAATTCTTGCTAAATTCAATTAAATCCGCCCAAATCGTTTTAAAATACATAAAATCATCGTGGTTTGCATGGAAGTATCTCCACAGCCTGGCGCGCGTTAACTTTTAGAACGTTTAATAGGTCAAGATATATACATAGCCAGAGGCTGTTGCAATTGCTTCGTATAACAACATTAACGCGTACTTGTTGGTAAAATGTTATTTAAGTTGTGCCACGGGCTGACATCTTTTCCTGTTCCCACAAAAATCAAACCTTGTGTTTCGGACATACAGTGACCGAAGGTTACCAAAGTGTGCATGCGTTCTTAGTTGTAATTCTTGAGACATTTGTAGAACACGTTTTACCAGACTACGTGTGTGTTGGTATGGAACTATGAATTACGATATTGGACAACAGTTAACAGTTGTTTAGTAGAACAAAACATTGCTGCTTTGATGACAATTTCTAACGAAATGGAAAAAACATTCAAAACGGTAAGCTATTTTGATACTCAAGTAGCATGTAGCACATGAAATATTGTCATTTCGCGTCACCACGCGCGATTTCAAAAGAGGTATGGGTCTAATATAATCGCCGTCATTGGCGCATTTCCTGAATGATATACCAACATTTTCTCTAAAAAAAAGTATGATATGGTATATAACAATATTTACTGAGAGGACAATATGAATATTAGACCAATTCGGTTACAGCATTTCTTATATTTTCATCATGACATTTCTGCGGAAAGTAACTCACTTGAAACTATCATTCAATTCTAGTCGTTCCCTGGTTGTACTGGCTTGTAAACATTTTGACTTGGACGTGGGCTGTTGGTGTGGATTATGTTTACTGTCATCAACCATGTCTGTTTTGAGCTAAGGCATGTGAGGTCAGGCCAGAGATGGACACATCAGTCTGAATAATGAAGATTATCAGAGCGATACAAAGAGTCGTTTTCCTGTCCAGACGGTCTGGTTTGTCTTAGATCTTTGCAGTAATAGTACAGTAAAAGGTCGACCACCGCCCCGTCACTTTGAAAGGCAGTTTATAGTTTATTTCCCGGCGCAACCGGAGTAAAATCTTTAAAAAGAAGTAAAAGTTTGCGTCATGCCAGCCATAAAGTGTAAAGAGAGAGAATTTACGAGACTGAGAACGCAATCTAGATTGAGGAGTACAAATCCGTGGAAATCCAGAACACTTCAAAATATTCACACGCAGTACTTGTCTTTTTTTTTAGGAAACAATTTCGCGGAAAATCTTATTAAAACTGATTTCCGAGTCGACGATCTTAACATGGAGTTTCGATTATCAGATTATAAACACTTTTTGAGGGACATGGGACAAGCAATGAACATTAGATATATATACTCGTATATAAAAACGTATTTATAAAGCGCGTTTTTGTCTACTCACCACTGTCCTTTACTTTACATGACCTACGCAGGTATATCACCGTTTAAACACACACACGGATGTGAGCAACAATTCAGTGTGCGCGTTTATACAGTCGGGCATATCGCGGACGACACGTGTGCAATGGGAAGGTCAACAAGTTATCTTGTAGACCAACTAACACACGCGAACTTAGAATTAGCGGCTGTCGAGAGATAAAGAAAACCGCGTTAGGTTTCCTCACAGGCGCGTGGCTTGGAAAATGAGCTGTCGAAATCATGGAAAACGATAAGATTTTTCTGTTTGATAGTTCCTGTTATCACACCTTATGCATAACACGTGTACGGAAGGAGAGTAAGGTTTCCTGATATCAGATTGGGTCGTATCAGAACACTGATGGTCTTTAAGGTAGATGATACTGCACGTCGAATATAGGAGGGGTGAAAAGAGAAACCTTGATAAGCATTTCAAATGAGGTCGTTTTATCTTGAGTTTTGTCTTTGTCAACAGAACCAAATGAGCTGACAACAATGGCAACAACAACAGCAGCATCAACGACATTAATGATGTTTATAATGTAACTGAGTAATGCTTACACGTGACTAACAACGAATCAGTACGTTCCTCGTAGCTGCATTTTATCGACAGTGTACCACACCATCAACATATCGTTTGTGAGCGTTGTAATAATAATAAATATAATAATATAATATAATTATAACAACAATATTTTATTATTATTATTATTAGTAGTAGTAGTAATTGAATTTTGTTGGAAACTAATCGCCTATAAACATGCATTGATATGTAGAATAACATTTTACGATTTGTTTTCGAATTTTTATAAATTGATTTATTGTCATGGGAGCCAACTATTTGGTTTTCGTCACAACAAATATATTTTTAATTCGTCAGCATAACGTAACGCTCGCATATTGTGTTCATGATTTGACGAGTCAATCCTGTAATTATAAATAACTATACGAACAGGTCTTAAACACATATCACTGGGTCACCACACACTTGACTGGCGTCGTATCCACAGCGTGTGCTGTGAACGGGGCACGTGTGTACCTACCACATCGCATGCAGTCAAGTTAACCTATAGTGGTAGGTCACTTATCATTCCGATTTGTATTGTTAAAAAATAAATACAGCACCGGACAACGAGTAAATTTATAAATTGGCACATGTAAGGCACGTACTTTTGTTATCGATACGTCACAGCGGGGTGATGTATGAACCAAAGGAGTTTAATATACCAACAAAGTTAATTAATTGATTAATTTAGCAACGGTTTCGCCAAATCTATGTATTTATTCAACATTCGGATCAACATCATTGTGAACGCACTGTTGAATTATGACATTGTTAGTTAGTTAGACCCCCTCAAGCTTGTTGCTGTGAAGTTTAATTTAAATAGCATAAGGACAGCCTAATATAGCGCGGAATATAGGGTACAATCAGCTGAATGGTACAGCTCAAAGCCTTACCGTGTAGTTCTCGGTGTTCGTGAAGTCGCACCGTCGATTTCGTCTAAGCTCTGTCTTTCCTTAAGATGCACTCGTGTTCCTAGGTTCATATGCCCCTTGTGTGTAACAACAAAACAGGGTGCGATACCAAAGCGTGCTGATTGTACGCCTATGTTCAGCCCTAGTGCATGATACAACCATATATATAAATAGATAAGGCCCTACCGCGAACAGCTTCTGGTCGACGTTCCACTTTCACGGAATAACAAGAGAAATTTCCTTTGAAACCCTGAGCCAAATCCACCTCAAGCTCTCTCCACAAATGCCGCATCGAGGGAGACACGAGTTTTACTGCAAATGCCGAGTGGCTTAACTGGGGTAAATTGGAGCGCCCCATCGTATTTGTGTATTTCCCTTGACGGGTGTTTCGAACGAGCCCCATACGTCACTGAAATCTACATTTTCGTCATACATTCCGGGAAATTAGCATGGGCCAATCAGGGCGCCGGAATCTAATTGATATCAGCACGGTTGGTGACCATTCGAGTGTCGTCAGAAGTGTACCTAGTCAAACCGGTGACGTCACAGCGTGCAATTCACGACAATGCTAGTAATTTATTCGGTAGCAGAGAACAAATAAAGAACGCATTAACATTCTATTAACATGTGATTATGACGTCACCGGACACCATCGGCCAATCCTAGTGACGGATTCGTAACCTGATCGGCGACCCGATTAAGGCTCGTATTGTCGAGTAGTGCGCCATGTTTTTAATACATTACGCGTTAACTAATCTCCAACTACGTACACTGAACGGCCAAATATATCGTTTCTATGCGTTGATACATTATTATTATATGCTGAATGGTCTAATTCTGGCTCAACCGTCGACGTTTTATAATATTTCACCCATACATGACCAAATATAGTAACGATTGCCGATATTTTGGGACTGTTTATTTTTGTCAGCACACATTGCGGTTAAAGAGGTGGGTCCACAAAGTTCAGTTGTAATGGGCCGACTGGGGCAAATATACTCGAGCAGAAAGTAAACGCAAACCGCACGTAAACCATTAAATAAATAGTCGGGGTCAAATATTCATTAAATAACAACTAATGATGTGTGAACATCACCGCCTGGAATTCTGTTACGTTAGCGGAGATGCCACGCGAGCTCCACTCAGCATATGACAGTAGCCGCCACGCGTAACATTCAACATTCTTAAAAAAAAATACAGAAATAACACAGAAAGGAAAACGATTTGACAAACATAATGAATTTATTCTTCAACTTGCGGACTGACAAACAAATGCACGTTTTTATTTTTACATCTGTTTTGTGCCCGATTGAAATTTGATGTTGATTCCTCGTTAAATTCATATTACTGCCCTTCGCGTTTGCAATAGCCTCATTGAAATCACTACACAGTGGCCTTGGCCTGAGATAACCTCGTCCCACTTTAAGCAAGGGACGACTTGTCCGTTTATTTACATTAGTATCAACGTTAATTACTCGTGCAGTGGTTGAAACAAACCCCATTGTGACACATAATATTTTACATCAGTTGGCAAATGATACTTATACATACAGTGCATTATATTAGAGTTATTAAAATGAACGGTACCATAACGCAGTGTTGTCGATATTGGATTTAAATATTAGACACTGTAGCAATGTAAAGATGGACGCAAGTACAACCTTGTTCAATTTGACTCCTATATTTTAAACTGACTCAGCATTGACCTAGAATAAGAACATATTATCAGCGTACGACGATCGATAATGGAACGCCGCAATGAGTGGGCTGACAGCATTGCAATCCGTGCTAACCGCGGCAGATGTAAACAAGTCCCAGTCTTCGATTGATGCCGTCTTGTTGTTTTCAAGCAGTCGTTTTTAAGTGCGTTTCCATATTGATCAAAACCGATATTTATACATTCAAACATTTTAACGCTGCAAGTCCCCCTATAACAATATTTCCTCCGTTCGATATTCTGTCTTAAATGACACGTTTTTTTTCTCCAACGCTATTTCCCGCCTGTGTTAATTTGCCTCACCTGCTGACGTATGCTTTTACCGACAAAATAAGATCCGCTGGCCGAAAAATACACTTGGTTATTTGTGCGCAATATATTCTTACTGATTTTTGGGAGAAAATATATTTTGTAAATCTATATTTCTTAAGTATGATTACAATCTGGACAAATATTCGCGTTCTGCGCAGACACGTTGTTATACCGACTGACGAAATGATCTTACATAAATAGTGTCTTCTGTTGCCAAAATAATTTCGAATCTTTGAAATTTGATAAATTGTAAATTATATCATATTTTTGGAGTTTCAACTGGGAAAACATGCCCAGAGTGTTTTCAATTTACATGTAATTTGATACTTAGTAAACAACTAATGATAAGACAAATGAATCCTTATCATGTTGACATAAAATATTAATTGTTTATTTCATACTTGAATAATCTAAACGCAAATATTAGTGATCCACTAATGACACATTTCGTTTGTCTTATGTTGATTAAAACATATATCAGTCACGGTTTTCTGTTGATATTACAAATCGGAAGGAGTTTGTGCAATGTAATATATATACCAATCACTCACATCCCATAATATATTGAATGTCAATTAGAACAGTGACAGCAAAGCCGTACAATGTATTCTCAAATAACCACCGCATGCTCGGAACACAGTTGAACGTTTCAGGTATCGAAAATCGACGTTCATATTTGAATGCCTGGGCCATTTACATAATTATGCTCCAAATGTGTACGCCTTAAAAAGAAATTCATTTACCGGACAATAACAATATATACTCCTACAACACTTATTGGATGCTGAACTGAATCAGATTGTCTTTTTTAAGAGCGTTTTTGAAAAGTTTCGATGTTCTGAGGGCGCACTACTGACTTACACCTCTTCATCGGTTGGCGGTGGAGGGGGATGGGGTCACAAAACTGTGTTTCATTTCATGTATACATACATACATACATACATACATACATACATATATATATTGCCAAGCACGATTTAAATTGCTTGCTTCAAAAGTTAAGGCCGTTAGCGAAACCGACCACGCACTTTTCATGTCTTATATTAGTAATAAGGGAGTATCACATGTCATTTGTAAAATTGTCGCCCGCCCACGTCATATGACGACTGTTCTTACTAAGATAGGGATGCTACGCCCCCGAACGTTGCATAACTCGTTGTGAATTACGTAAGCACCGAACGTAATGTTTGTTTTCTGTTTTTTTACTAATTGTTAGTACTTATATCGATTGTAAATGCGTGTAAAATTTGCACGTCATGATTTATGTCTCCTGGAAATCACTGCAACGTGCGATAGCATCTCGAAAATAATTCTTCCCTTGGTAGCCATGACAACTGAACCGACATCCAGTAGTTCTTTATGAAAAACAGAGTGATGGGTGTGCGCGTGCGCTGTGCAGGTAACTGAGTTTCAGGCGGCTTCATCGTGACGACAAAAGCAATGTGACGTATGCGCAGAATCACACAATTATAATAGTGCGCAGATTATAGATTTACAATACTTTTGTTGTCCACACTTCCAATATTTACAGCATTTCAGTTCAGAACTCCCTCTTTTGATGATCTTGGTGTCGAAGTTGGTCGGAGTTCCTGCAATCCTATTTGCCGAGACATCGTGAGTAGCAGGTGAGTTTACTGTATGTATATAGACATGCTGATTATAGCGTGCTACGCCTCGTTTCTCATTTCACTCGGACTTCAGACGCACATCTCACCCACTGAATGTTCATGTCTACGTTCCACGCGTTCACACTTGTCGGTCACTAGTGATGTATTAAATCCAAGTGGTCATATGGTTGAACCGTCCGAAACTAGGAAAAATACAAAATTATATATGGATCTCGTTACTATTCGCTCACCTGCTGTGCAGTGCATGCTAGTCACGTGTGTAGTGATTGCTAGTCACGTTGTGCTAAGAAAATAACACACTGAATACAAAACGGTACTGACTATACGAACACTGAAATAGATTTACCTTTATATTTCTACGTTGTTTTTTGTACCACTTTCATATTTGTTTACAGCATTCCTACAAAAATGAAGAAAACATAATGTACAGCTTTATAAAATGTCGTATGTATCGCTATGTAGTGTCTGGACCATTTCAATGAAATCACCAATTTAAGTGAAGCACATGTTGAATTTGAATTTTATACGTTTGTGTATATTAGGGTAATATAAAATGATAGGTCGGTATATACAGTATTCTATCTTATCCTTTTCTTGAAACCCTAAATACAACTAGGTTAAATTTATTTCTACTTCGTTTAATTCAAGTTAATTAAACTCAATTATAACGCAATATATTGCAAGTTAATTATCAGTGAGTTTAATTAAAATTAAATTGAATACAATGTAATTAAATTGATAGCTTCAATGGGAGACCTGCACGTGTGTACACATGTGTGTGACATGGTGACTACAGTAGTGCTAATCAATACTAATTCAAATAATCCCCACCTATCTAGGAATCTTTTTCTCGGATTTGTAAGACTCGTGTGGAACGTGTTGCAGAGGTTAAACAAATTAATGTTATATGCAAGTAGACAGTTTGCGTCAGTTGTAAACGTGTTGACATATCAGATAGTGATATAACCAGAATATCACATTATGTATTTCACCTAAATAACAATTCCCATTTTCTACCCGCGTCCATATTGATGAAGCACGGCTATAAGTTGAACACCATATGCGAAAACCCACAAACGACGACGCTCTCATGTCGACCATATTTGAAAATACAACTAAATGTCTATTTTCAGCGAATTGATTTTTTTTATTCGTGAGTCACGTGTTGTTATTAAGCATTATTATCAGACTTTTTGAAGTAAGAATCGTGTGCAAGCATATCGACTGAGCATGCGCATTAACGTCAATTAATAATCTATGGCAACCGTGTATCAAACCTTGATAGTATTATTGCCTTGTTTATAGAAGCGTGGATGGCATGCATACAATCAATTGATATCACCTTCGAAAGCCGTAACAAACTAAAATCTGCACTTTCTTCCCAGAAATAACTTATTCCGTCTAAATTTCCTAATCACTATGGGCACTGGGATGCGCCACACACTGTGGCTCATGAATTTATTCAGGATTTTCACCACAGCACTATACTCAGTCGGTATTTTCTAAATTATTATTACTAGTATAATTATAATCACGATGGACATTTCAGTGATCTTTTGTGACATTTCCTCGACAGTAGAAGATTTATCACTATCTGTCTATCTTTACCTAGTAGTTATAATAACACATAATAAATGGCAGAAATATAAAGGGTCCTGTAACAGTCAGAGCAGCCTGTGAGATTTTTTAGGGGGAGGGGCTCTTTGAACTACACAACGAGTATATCTGTTTAAAACCTGATTATTGTACGGCGTGTGTTATTTATTTCATACATTTTATTTTTATATTTGTAATTTTGTTTTTGTTTTTATTACATACAGCTTATGTGATTTTTTACTATGTCGTTAAACAAAAACTAGGAGGTACTACGAGCCGAATTGAGGATTGAGGGTACTTTCATTATTAGGGGGTCACCGGATAAATTTGAACTTATATACAAGAGCCCCAATATGTAATGCAAAATTATCACAATTGGCATTTTACACTGGATTCAAGTTCTAAGGCAAGATTGCTTAATATCACAGATACTACTATTGTTGAAACATTTAAAACAAATACACAATTTATTAAGTTACCAGGATGATAGTAGTTTTCCATTTTGTACAATGGGAAGTTCCCCTTCCCATATGAATTTCAAAAAGCTTACTTTTCCGCATTACCGTCACCTCATCAATGAAATGCAAATAATTTAGGGGTCCAATGAGTAACTTGTTCGGGTTTTGCAACGTATATTCGCATGATCAACTTTGATGTCATTTGAGTTGAACTTGTTCACCTGTCACGTGATAGCGACGTCATTGAAAATTAGTTTTTCAATCACAATTTGTTGCTATGGTTACATTCCTGTTCAGCTCTAATGTATTGTCTTCTGACCCAGTTAACGAGGTGCCAATGGCCATCAAAGAAAGCCGGTGAAAGTCGGGGATAAAAGGAAGACAAAGCTATGATACGCAGCATGATAAGTCAAACCAGACCGAAATTAATACTCATTGCCTACTGTGCGTTTTCGAGGTTCGTGCATGCAAGGAAAACGAATAGACTTGGCAGGGATCTCAATCTCACCATATAAGTGCCCTAGTCGACATTTCATATCATATATATCTATCCCATATATCATAGCGGTAATTTCAAAATAGTTCGGTTGAATCACACTATGGCCCGGCATACAACATAATATAAACAGTAATATATTTGCAGACTTAGAACGGGGCATTATTTTCAGTAGGGTCTCAGCTTTTCGCATTAGAAGCAAGATAACACCCCATAATTAAAATGGTATGTCTCATTTTGCCATGGCAACACACTGACGACAGCTATCGCGAAATGCATCAAGATGTTGTCATGATTTAATGTGTGCCGGTCTTTCCATGTGCGTCATGGGATGCAAATTTAATATACCCATATTAGGAGTTGTCTAGCTCAATTTCTTTTGTATTTCACACTCTGTAGGTGCCACCTGACGAGCAACGACTGTCAATATACACAGCATTGATTCAAATGTAATGCATCGCTTGTTCTCTGTTGCTACGAGATCAGATAGTTGCTATGACAGTAGATGTGCGTCATTCTACGTCACAGACTCTACGCATTGGAACCATGCACGTATACGTTGTACGAGCGAAAATACATAAGTTGTTTTCGTAGTTTTTCATATGTATTTCTAATTTCAAAATAAATGATGGAAACTGGCTTATTTTGACCTATTTTTTCAATATATTTAGATGACCACGTCTTTTACCAACATAATCGACCTATGGACCTTCCCGTTCATAAGAAAGCGCTTGTAATTACAACACTAGGCAATAGTCTGTTTAAAATGGAGATTCTGTTTTATTAACCGATAAAACTAATATATATATATAATCTATAGTCTTGGTTTAAGTCCCACAATATTCCAAACATAGTTATAACACAGTTTCATACGTGCTCTGTTTATCTATAAAGGCGACTTTTCGCTCAAATCATTTTTTGAATTTACCTTTGAGTCAATGTATTCCTCGCTCTGTGTTATTCTATTTCATGGGATGTGTCTGTTCCCTCACGTCATCGAAGCATATTACACATCTTCTTTCTTCGCCATTCTCTCTGGAAAAGATAGTCCGTCAAGCATCGATATTCTATTTGGTTATCGCGTTTTCATATTTGTCGAAGTGTCAACTCGCTTTGGTAACCTATCGAATGAAGGAAAAGAAGTGATAAGTTTAGAGATGTTGATACGAATGTACCACCCCACAAAACAAACCTTACATATATACTTTAGACAACACGACCAATCATCAATTTGAAGATTGGTCTTCTTGTCTTGAACCTGAAATAGAATCGACACCACAAGAATCTCTTGAACCAAAATCAGAAAGAGTATTTGTACCAATATGTTGGGTTGGAATACCCAAAAGATGAAGACTAGTTTCTTTATCATAAACTATCATAAGGAAATGTAAAATAAAGTCACTGGGAAACACCTGTATGAAAACAGAAAATCGATTGCGTTAGTTTGTGGTTTAACAAGGGTGAACATATTAAGAATCTTTTTATATCGCATCAAATCCCGGTAAAACGCTTTATAGCATATTGAAGTTGAACCTGAAAAAGTTGAATTGTTTTGTTTTTATCCCGGGCGTATTCAAACTTTCTAACTATTTCATGGGATAAATAGTTCACCATAACGACTGTAGATTACACATGCATATCCCAAACAACCCACTGCGTAAGGAATCAGATGTACAATCAAATTAAAATAATTCAATGCCGGCCTCGAATACCGGCTAGAATGTGGAGTTATTTCGCCAACCTGCCCGAAAACAAGACCCGTTGTCGATAAATTGTAGGTTGTTGAACCGATGACACAATGGTACCTGGCTGAATGGTGGAGTAAAATAAAAAGAAGGGGCGACTCCCCAATCGGAGACAAAACAGTATTCCGCAACTACGTATGATAACACAATAGTAAACGGCATCTACGTACATGTTCTATAACACAACTGGCATAAATACGGCATGACCCCACTGACTGACGCTTTGCACTGGCTTTCGTCATCTTCAATACTTTTAAGTCCAATGATACTCCTACATGGAAACGGCAAAAACAGCCCTCAGACGACCATAAAAACGGTCCAAATAGACTCTGTCGCGTAGGTACCCGTTCCGTATTACGTGTTCGCAGACGACTAAACTCCCCCCGATTCGCGCCATGTTTTTATATGCGTACGTCACCCATTGACGTCACGGTACTCAAAGCACTCCAATAACAAAACGTTTTACAAAAACAGATTCGATACAACTGACGTTAATGGTAAATATGGACAACTGACTGACGTCACTGTCTAATTTGCTTACTGATTCCCTTATATAGACAGCCCATTGTGCCCAAAGCAGTCGATATTATTTTGGTTCGTCTAGTAAGCTAAACATATCCGCTTAAAACGAATACATTCGGTCAGTATTCATGGCGATTTCCAACATGCAAGAACCTATTTCGCATGTATTTGTAATTTTAATGAAATTATATTCGACAATATGTTTATTTAAAACATGCAAATTCTATTTCGAAACAGATTGCAGATATTTGCAATCCTGCTCTCAATGATTTTTCTAGAACGCCTGAATTTAATATTTATAGTTTTTTAAATTTAATTCTGCTAAATTATTTACCGAAAAGGTCACACGTATTCTCGCTAGCTATTAGCACTCGGATTCTACACAATAATCCATGGCGTAAGGTCATTTTTAATGTAGTTTAAATGAACGGACCCCAGCACGGTGATGGACGGTATCAGTGTGTGTCTGTATGGATTACAAGTGAATCCATGGTACTTGTATATATAGTGTTTATCTAGTAGTATCCGCTCATTAATGTATTCATATATGAACTTAGTTTTTGTATCTAGGGCTGGACAGTGTGCAGGACGGGGTGGGGTGGGGGGGGGTAGCATTGTATTCGTAGTCTCGAATTCATGAAAATAATTTATTTATTTAATTAATTGACACAACCATGACTAGATATAAGTACAGCAATAATGCAATGGGCTCAACGTTCATATAGCGTTGTATAATGTACATTGTGTTTTTTTCTCGGCTGTATACGAATGGCAACTTAAACTTGAAATCATTCAAGATAAAGGCATCAAGGAAGTAAATAACTAACAAACAAACCTAAGACAAGATTCGTGACTTGTATATAACTTTTGTATATACGAAGGCTCTGACTATCATTTGATTTTTATCACAGTAAAAAAACCACTGAAGCCTAGGAGAGAAGAACATTTTGCAATATTGCAATTATTTATAATATCTACTGAATAATAACTACACAGGAAATATCTATACTATTTAAAAGCATGTGTCAGACGCGTGTTTGGAGGAACGGTAATTAGATCCCATTTTGTTGAATTGCCGTTATGCAGTAGCGGCGATCCTTTACTTCCGGGTCATGTCATATCTATATCGTTACCGTGTGCTTTTGGTGTAGAATAAGCGTCAATTTATACAAGAATGACACTAAAATCTAATAAAAACACATTGAACATGAGAAATATATACAAACACAAGTCTGATTCAATTTGTATTTTATTTTATTATTTTAATTTTTGTTATTGCCACATTTGTTAATGTGTGACTATTGTTTTGGTTTTATTTACCGTTATTAGGTTTTTGGGGATTATTTCTTAATATTGAGTTATCTAACTGTAAACCCCCCACATAATTAATAAAAACAAATAACAATAAAATATGGAGCCTATACCTACTTGATATTTTAATCAGATTGATACAACATAGTCATGTATAATTATATATAAATGGCCGTACTAACTTGGTTTCAATTTTCATTTGTTGAAATCAATAGTTAGGTCACGGTGAAAACAAGAAACTTCTTTATTTAGCAGGTAATTATAAATTTATTTCATCTTGTTCAGGATATGGAAGCGTATAATTAATTCGACAGTACCTCTCATATAAATAAGTTTCCTAACTACTTCGTGATAATACTAGTATTCTTTATAAATATATTTTTTGAGATCGCATTCTATTTTATAATTATAACCCAAAATACATACACGTCATGCATCCTGTCACACTCTCGTGACGGTATTGCCCTACATAACAGTAATAATTTACCATATAACATCTCTTAATGTTTTTGAACAAAAATGTCAACTGTCTGCATTTAAAATAATTATGATTGCCAGAGAATGTGTTTCCAAGGTTTTAATCTTTAGCTAATATGCGCAACGTCCGGGTAACCAACTGACTAAATTATCATTAAATGTCTAAACTATTGTGCAATGATCAATACACAACTTACAGTGCATTACTGGAAAGTATCTCGCTATTTTATTCGCAGTTGACAACCAGAAGTCACAATATGTCACGTATATTGGGTTTTAGTTTAGTTATCTAAGTCATATAATCTCAGAACCTGAAGGAATCCATGGGAGATATAATTCATATAATTCTATCCATGAAATGTGTACCTTATGATTACATAATACTTTTGAAAATTTATTTTTCAGTTCACCATGTGATATGACAATAATGCGATGTGATAAAAACGGAGGAGAAAGGCCACGAACAAATTTAACTTCGGACTATATATATATAAAGAACGTTTTTATTTTGCTTTGCATAATGTTACACTCAAAGCCAATGAGTCAACCGGTTTGTGAACAGTAGAATAAACCTTTGAATTATGGAGATCTGCTTTGAAGTCACGACGCCTCATCATATTTATTAGGTTGGTATTCCTACTTTAGGTGCTCAATTTTATTTGTTCTTGACAGTGCCATATTTTTTCCTGCAACATCTTGTACGCAATTGTCCCTTTGGTGTTTAGCTTGCAAATTTTCTTTTCAACAAATATTTCTGAACGATAGAAAGGTAGCTGTAGCATGTACAAAGCGACGTACGCGACATGAGTTGATCAAAGCGAATCTATTATCTTTGCAACCCGAAAGTGTCAGAGGAAACTATATATAGTACTAGCAGCTTCTAGATGATTTTAAAAACACGGAGACATTTTAAAGTTTATAAGTTATGTTATCGGATATACTTCGTTTGTATCCGGTGACTTATGTAGTAGTATACGCCATGCACTATGTGCAATAATCACAAGATATCCGGGTTAGAAGTTGTTTGAAAACAGCCGAACATTGCCAGTCATTTTTGTTGATTCGGCTTTGATCGGCTATGATCGTGTTTTCATCATATTAAGGCGTCATCGAGTCCACAAATTTCCTACTGGTGTTAATAATGCGATCTTGTTAATTAATCAAAATTCGATGCGAACCGTTTCTTTTAAAATTTGTTTCTGGTGAACACCCGTCTGTTATATTTTCTATCACGTGTCTTCCTCCTAATTGTTTGCCACTGCCAAAACGTCAGCCGAGTT